CAAACATGCTTAACTGGGTCTATTTACTATTCATAGGCGGACTGGATCTACTTCGGTATTAGTAGTTGACTTAACTACATCATCATTACCGGACGAGTACCCTTCATTCATTGTCTTTTACCTTCTACGGACTAAAAGTCTTCTGTAGCTATCCTTGCGAAAGTAGTATGTTCCCCGGGGCACTATCTGATATCCCTCAAAACTTAACATTCACCAGCGGCCGGTTAAGCTGTTTAAACGACTTCGAGATCACCTCCGGTGGGCTTCAGCTTGAAATAACTTTTATGATTTCTGTGCGCCCATCACTACTGTTAGACCTGAGCTTTGACCACACCACCTGCTTGCACTTAAGCTTGACCCGTCCAACTTGGCAACCAGGCTGCTCCTAACTCCGCCTAACTAGCGAAAGTAAAACATAACACTCACAGCTGCACAAAGGTAAATTTATTAACGATTATCTGGAGAAAGTATGTAACGACAGAAGGCAAGAGTCAGGCAACACATCGTTTATTAAGGAATTCAACACATATTTATAGATTTTCATGGACATTATTACGGATTATTGTTAGCAGAAAAACACACTCTTCTGATTGGTTGTCTCTCACAGAAAGTTAATCTTTCATCTCTTTGTGACTGTTCCTTGAATGTCAGATCATCTATATGTTAACTTTATCTGTCTACGCAAAGTCTGCTGTGGTTGATTGTTGAGTCAGTCTTTCTTAATATTTTCTCACGAACAATATTTGCGACATGAACATTGGCGTAAATTATTTTCTACCAATTTGGTTAGCAGCCTCCTCTCACCACAAGTATAGTGACAGCTAAATCACACGACAACCCAGTTGCCCAGCCCTTATCCCTTTCACAGATCCAGATTGCCTACTATATTCTTACCCGAAGATAAATAAGCAAACTGACCGTTGAGGGTTTGATTAACCTGATCCCTTACATAACCACCTAGAATATCGCTACTTCGTAAATCTGAAGAAAATGACGATGTATGTCAATCGTTTCAACTACTCTGGAACGTTTATTTGAAAAAAGTTCATGGGATACATAAAAGACCCGAAATATTCAGTGGCGTGCGGTTTTTCATTTTCCAACTACTCAAGACAAGGTTTGACTTCACGAAAACACTAAGAATACATATGTTTTTCCTTTGTTCTAACAGCGCGCTGCTAACGTCTTCGCCTTAACGAACTAGGATGTCAGGAGGTGACGTATGACTGCTCTTTATAAAGCCAATAAAAATGTACAATTCCACTTCTTAGTGCTAAAACTGCGGTAGAAATGGTTAATAGAAAACCATAAAAGCCATGTATAAGTCGAGAAAATTCCAAATTATATCACAATTGGTAACAGATTTCTCTCTTTCTTATATGTTGCATTCGGAAAATTTCATGATAAGACAGTTCATATGCATCATGGTAAACAATGATTTTAATCATCAGTCTCAAAGCGATTTTCATTTCATAGATTTACGGCCATTAACTAAACCAACATAGTATCAGACATCGACGGTACAATTAGCGAGGATATGCAATAAAGCCACTTCACTCTCATTATACAGAATTCCTCAGTTTCATCGAGTAAAGGCATTCTCTTAGCTATATAGCCATTCACTCTTTTTATTCATCTGTTAACAGTAAAAAGAGAATGTTATTAAGTGAGTAAATATTATTGACGCATTTCCCGTAAATGGACACCTTGTATTTGTTAGATGTGTGGGCGCTCATTTCGACATTGCTTTTTGTAGTCGTTTGTTGTTTCCCTTTTTTCCAATGTTAGTTTCGTAATGTTATGCTAGTACTAAATTCTTTTCCGGACTCTTTATTGTCTTGCATTATTATTTCATCATGCCAGTGCGTGTAGCTTTTGGGTAATCTCGCATTGCATGACAGAGGTATTTTATAATTTTCGGGAGTCAGTTATGTTTTTAACCACCCAATTATCGTAAAAGACATGCGGGAGGTTGTCCAGAGCATTTCTCTTATTGTTTTAATGAGTCTAGATTATCTTTAAGAAGTGCAAGCGCTCGTAGATGCATTCTGCTTCCAGAAGAGATTACGTGGTTGCAGCTGAATCAACAAGTTGGCAGTCCAGCATAGTATGCTAGTGATTAACCGTTTATTAATGACGCTTCCCTTGCTTACTCCCGTTTTTCGATAAACATTTATGCGAAAATAAACTGTTGATCATGCCATTTGTTCATGTGTACCACACCTTAACGTCGTCTAGACGATGACTGAGATCTCAGTCATTCACTCAGTGTACTATACAGAAATGGGTTAAATTGTTGGCGTACGTATAACAAAAGATGCACATAATCACTGTTTATCAGTGTAAGTGGCATAGTTCTGGTGGATGAATACTGGAGACATCTTCATATTATTACAGATCATGTGTCCACGGATCTTATTTGACTATTCACCAGATTTGATATCAAGCTGAAGTCTTGCGTAATGTTCCTCCTGAGACAAGCATATACTTTCTCTGAGGCCCATAAAAATTTCTTGGTATCTGCAGTGCAAGCCAATGAATTAGTTCAACGTTCTAAGCTGCCCTTTGTCACAGTAAGGGGTGAACTCGTTCAATCTATTTGGAAGTTGTAATAAAGTTAGGCTAGGTACAAGGTCTGATTCTCACTGCCCGATTCATAGACAAGTCTTGGTAACACTCCCAAAGTCTCATGAAGATGAGACAGAAACCAATACAGGAAAGACGCCTAAAAACGACTGGATCATATCTGTTCACTCATGAACCAGCGGTTAGTACGACAATATAGACCATCTGCATGATATATATATATATATATATATATTGTTGAAGCATTGCAAGACGTGATTAAGGTGAAACCCTCAGATGCAATTGCTTGTGTCCCGAAGCTATTTTGCCCTGTTTATAGGCAGTAAAATATAAGGAAGAAACTTGGGTACTGTGGTGGAATAGGATAATTCGATTTGACAAAAGCATCTAGTGATATAATGTTGTTTAGGGATGACATTTCGAGCATAATGTATTTGTCCCTCTCAAACTCATACCAGAACCTTGATGTAATAAGGTAAAACGTAGCCAATCAGTAACTTCCAGACACTTGGAGCTCTGGACGAAGCGTCTAAAATAGCAACGCAAATGCCATGTAATCGATATAATTTCCCTTAAACATACTGGCTAGTGGCTGGTTAACACCATGTTACATACCGAAGTTGAGGTTTGTGGTAAATTGCAGTTACTACGGTCTTTGGGTGCCTGCGCTCTATTTCCCGTGTGAAATGGTATAATAAGGTGACGTTAGGCTTTGGTCAAGTTCTAGGTAAGGAGGGGAAATCAATCGACGAGGTTTCGAAGTTACATCGACTGAGATGGTTCGGAAATGTGTTACGTATGCCTAGTCATCGCCTTCGTCGACAATGGATGATGTTAGCTAATATAGGGTCAAGCTGGAAAAGAGCTAGCGGTGGTCAAACCAAAACATGGCTTCACCAGTCAATGAAATCTACAATAGTTGGTCAAAGCCACGTAGAAAGGTGTAGACTTCCCGGTTGGGGTCCTCGGAATGGTAAAATCCAGTGGTTGAAAACAATTGGTGACATGGTTCAAAATCGTTCTCAATGGGCAGTGCAGATGCATCCACTCCTTGTGACCTACGATTTTCAATGAAACTATATTGTTCTTCGTTATTATTATCTCTTTGTCTTACACCTCTGTTTACTGTCTTTATTATGCATTACTTCTACTTTCTTCTCTTGTTTTGTGTGCTACAAGGGGGGAGTGTGGTGACTTGAACTGCCGCACATATTTGCAAATTTCTATGTCGAAAACAGACAGAGAGACAGACTTTGGGAGTATATAGTCGTAACCTGAGACCATATCCTTTCAAAGTTAAAGAATAGCGACCCAAGCGATGTGAACTCACAGCTGACCTTGGAGAGACCAATGAAAATAACCAGTGTTCTTACATAAAAATGCCGTTTATATGCCAGAAAAATAGAGATAAAGAACGCTAAAACTACATGATAAAAATAAAGTACCCTAAACCTAACTGTAACCCTAACGGGCTACCAACCCATTATCCAGGTAGTAATTGAAAACGAGGTCGGGATGAAACTTGCATCACAGTTTGTGGACAGCGTTCATAGTGACGCTGTAGTAATGGTAGGTTCCGTTATCGAACCAATAGTGTGTGTTTATGGTCATTTGAGCATTCGTACTCCTGGATCACTATTCTTTAATTTGGCCTCACACCTTAGTCATGGGATCGATGAAGTTAATTGGTGTGTAACGTACTGAAAGTGTATCATTTTTGAATTTTGGCACGTTCTGTTCCTAGGATTTAAGTTGAATGTTATCAAGTAGTGTTCAATCAGTCTGTCGTCGATGCCCATGAGTGTAGTATGTGCTTAATGTCGTCGTGACGTAAATTAATTAAATGTATTCCACAAAAGCTTTCTTATTCACCTCCCTAAGGATGTGCTATTAGAAGTAACTAAGGTTCTCTTGTTAATGAAGAACTTCACTTTTCGTTGGTGTGACAGATGATATTGATAGTCAACTCTGCACCTGTCCACCTGTGACACTTTAATACTAAACCGTCTTGATACTTCACTACTCTCAGGGTATAGTCTGCACAAATAAGTGCATCTAGGAACAAATTCACTTATGCGATCATTCTGCCTCTGAATGTCTGAAATTCATCTTGTGACGGATTATTCTGTAGTAGAAATGTTTTTAAAATCGGGCGCACATCTTCGTGTTCTAAAAATCTAATAACTCATATTTGCTAACATAATTCCGTTTTAGAAGTCATACTTTGAGTCCTACTGTTATAAAGTGCAAGACCCCTAGACCTTATATAACAACTGTTGATTCATAGTTGCTATGTTTCTCTAACTTGTCGATTTTATTTTCACCTCGAAAGTTTATGCCTTATTTAATTTTTCATAAACTAAAAAAGTTATTCTGTTTTATTTCACAGCAGTTATATATTCATCAGATAAACAATGAAGTTATTCTCACTGCAAATGCTTTACAAAACGGATACATCAGCCAAAATGTTACAGGCTGCACATGAACTATCAAATTTTGGTTATTTTCAACGTTCGAGTATTAGAGAATTTATGGATTTCACTGCTAAACTTGTTTGTGAACGAACAGATCGCTGCCAGCGTGGATTAATTAAGGAGCAAGGTTTGATTTTGTTGAGTTACACTTATCCTACTGTTACGTAGATTATATTTGTCATGTTTACGTGCGACATGACAATTTATGTGGAGTTTTAATATGCGATCAAGAATATCCTCAAAGAGTAGCTCAAACTTTATTAACTAAAGTGAGTAATACAGTATGTTGTTTTTGTTTTCAGTGTTTCAATGGCATTCTACGGTTTCTTTTATCTATTGAATATTCAGTTTACCTCTTTGTGTAATCTTTCTTCTGATTTAAAGGAATTGTGATTCATTCCACATATTTAGACTAAAATACCATTAAAACTGAGTTGCGAGCTTCCAGTATAGTGCTACATTCAAAAGGCTGATAGTTATTTCAGCTATCCACTTTGAAGGTGACTGTTGGTTCAACTCATTAAGATGTTGAACCTTTCAACAGCAACCAAAAGAATGATGTAATTTCATAATTATATTTTAGTGATGACAGTTCCTGATGCCATTTTGGTGCTGTTTAGCTCTTTATGACTAAACATCATTTAGCCTTGGTAGTGGATTCTTTTTAGTATGACTTTTACTAGGTGTGGTTTTCAACAAGTGCTTTGTCCTAAGTTTGGACTCGTCAGCATTGAGTACCTTACCTAAGACCTCCGGGTTATAACTCCCAAACTAGGACAAAACCGACGCAATGTGCTCCTTCGCTCTTAGTAGTTCATTGCCGAATATGTTTTTCAGTCTTTAGATGTGTTGCTATCTTCCATTTCTGAGAATTGTGTTTAACTCATCACCGGTATTAGCTAATATCAAAATGTTTTCCTTTTCATTATTTAGGCTACTGAAGATTTTTCTGCACAATATCCTGCTGCCACGTGGACAAGTATGGCTGATGCGTAAGTTTATTATCCCAGTAATTCTTATCTGTGTTTGGTTCCACCCGTATATGGTTAATTTTTATAAGGCCTGTTTGTGATAGTCTTTGGTTTTATACTATTTCCATCCCCTTGGATTCGGTGTGGAACATAGGGCTTCAATAGCTCATTATGTGTATATATACTTTGGCTATCGTCTTTGAGTTTTATCTTCAAGCATATCGTGGTAAGATCTAATTAGTTACTTATAGGACATGTAGGTAGGTTCAGCGTGTGTTTTGTGTATCGACGTTCATAATGTTCCTTTAAAATCCTTTGTTCACACTTATAAATTGGGTGGTTATATCTGAAACATCTATTTTATCATTATTTTTATTTGATTCCTTTACGTTCCAAGTGGAACATAGGGCTTCAGGCTAGAAGTCTGAAGTTTCAGTAGCAGTGGCGTTTTTTTTATTTTTACAGAATGGGTTTGCTAACCTCATGTCCAACTTTCCCTCTTTACCAGTCTTAATACTGGCTTTGCGAAGTAAAGAAGAGCGTCAACTGGGGATCGAACCCCGAACATAAAGCGTGGTTGGTGAGCATTCTACCAATGTGCCATCGACCCACGTCGAGACAACTATTTGTTGACACATTTCTGTGGTTGATAGGCATTTAAACTTTTGCAGCTAGGATTTTTGGTTGATTGTCTTCAGCAGTCAGTTTTCAATTAGGAGGTAAGGGATCTTAAATCCACCTCCTTAAGTTCGACCAGATGAACTAAACATACACTGAGGAGGCTGTTGGGCTACATCACGCGCCAGGCCCTCTAGTGAAACCCGAATGAGAAACAGTGTGTTAGGTATGGGTTCGAGGGCTACATGTAAGTGATCGTGTGAGGAGGGGATGAAAGTTTTTAGTCAATTGTGGAGCTGGCTATTAAAGACTTCAGAGAACAGGGTGAAATAGAGATATTGCTGTGAAATCCCTATGTTCTATTCGGAACCCAAGAGAATGAAAATAATAATTTGTATCTCTGTCACAGAAAAGGTGTAAGCCATCACAGTTGGCAATTTTCCAAACGGTCACTGGATTGTGTGATTTATTGCCTTTGCAACTAAGAAGATAAATTATGCAGCAGTACGAGTGGTCCACACATTAACAGACATAGTTATAGGTTACTTAAAAAAGAGTGTGCCAGTGGTACGGCGGTACAATGCTTGCCAAGTTTGCAGGTGGTTTGGGGTTCGATTCCCGGACGACGCACTTCTTTACCTCGCTAAGCCAGAAATAATACTGGTAAAGAGGAAAGGTTGGGCATTAGGCTAGCAACCCCATCCCGTAAAAAAACAAAAACACCACTGTTATCGAAACTTCGAGCCTGTAGCTTGAAGCCCTCTGTTCCACTGGGGACGTGAAGGAATAAAAAAGACTTGAAGAAGAAAAATATGGCAATATTTCTTAATCTCTTGATATAAACGAAATATTCTCATTATTAATATTAGAGCAAGACATATAAGCGAACAGTATTGTTTTCAATTGGATCTTCTTCAGGTTTTACTCTAATTTACATAGACGTTTATATAAAAATTTTAACCAATGAATGACAGTGAGTTTGTTGATTAAATAGTAATAATAATAATAATAATAATAATAATAATGTACTAATCTGTCCAATTCACCATTAGTATTACGTAACTTTTAAGATTTGAGCTAATTTCTTTATTGAATTGTCTTCATATACACATATTACTACCTTCGTTATTCTTATTGCCACGTGCGCAAACCTTATTATCATTATTTTGTTATCATTATAATCATCGTTATTAGTGATGTTCAAAACATTTACCACATTATTATTATTATCGCCATCATTCATTGGTTCAAATTTTTACATAAAAGTCTGTGTAAATTAGAGTAAAGCCTGAAGAAGATCTAACTGAAAACAATATCGTTTGCTTCTATGTCTTCTTCTATTAAACGAAATAGGTCCCTAAAGGGATTTTCTGTCTATAGGACTTAATTTAAAACTCTTAAAATGAACTAATATATAACCCCTCCATTTAGCTTATGTAATCAAATTGAATGAAGTGTCGGTTTATACAAAAAAAGAACCGATAATTTAATTTAGTTTCTCTTTGTCTTCCAATAAATGTCTTAGCTATTCAGCTTTTAATAGAAAATGTCATGTAATTCGTTAGGGGTGTGTTGATGCCCAAGTATTGTGGGACCGACTGCTATTTATTGCTAGAAAAGATGAATACGTGTTACCATTAGTGCCTATGACTTTGCTAAGTGTAATTGACGACATTCTGGTGAGCAATGTGGTAAAATTACTGGTCATTGTTTTAGGCAGTTCGTAAACTATGAGGATGGAGATTGTCCCAATCGCCAAGGTGTGTAGGTATTCAATTAGTTCAATTCGCTAATTTTTTTACACTAAGTTTGAAACATCCTAACAAATAACACTACATGTGAATTTTATATGTGGCTTATGGTGTTTGTCTCAGTGGTATAGGCATTCACATCAGACCATTTGATTACGTAATCCAATCTGCTTCCATGTATTTTACTGCAGGCTAAACAAATGACCGTCGTCGTTAACAGCTAAAAAGGGAGTGGTATTGTATGGGTAGTAGCAGCTTTAACATTATTCATAAGATAATTTCTCAGTATTATACTTCCATTCTATTCTAGTTCAGAAGGAAATATTAGTGGTAGTCGTAGTAGTAGTAGCAGTAATTCTAGACTTATATTGTTCATTAATGGCAACCCACTCAAAAATCTGTAAAATAAGGTCAATTAATTATTGTTATTATATCGATTACTAAACACACTAAGAATTTGTTTTCGTCTACTTTCCTTATCTTTCGGCTTTTCTGCAACCTTAGTTGTCAACACAAGGTATTAATATGAGGTCATGTTACTTGCTACTTGTACGTTTGCTCTGATTTTTCTAATTATTACGTGGTACACACTATCATGATTATCCATCGGATTTATCGTATTGTCTGTAGGAATTTACTGGATATAGTTATTACCGCTATCACTGCTATCATTATTCCAGATGAAGTTCTTTATCCGTTATCCACCTATAGTTTTGCTTTTAATCCATATGGTTTTATTATTATTGTATGGCGGATCTTCCTGGTGCCATATTGTACCAAGCTTTTTTGCGTTTAAATAAAATATAAAATAATTAATAAGTTACTATTCAGGCAATACTGTTACACACCATTTCACTTTATGAAGATGAAACAACTTATGACCTACCAAACTTTATAGCGTACCGTATAAATCTCCTCGATAATTCTTCAGTATTTTCTAAATAATTTAATTTCAGTGGCTAGATTTCATCACAAACCGACGTCATTTTGAGACATCATTGGAAACCAGAGAGTACTGGACAGCCTTTTCGTTCTGTGTTAGGAACGGGAATCGAACCCGGGTCTTCAGGTTACGAGGGCAAGCTTGTTAGCCAGTTGGGCTTGAATTCAGTGACTCGTGAATTCTATCTTTTTTCAATTCGTCACCAATCGCTTCGATGAGCATTCACTTCACCTAGGTATTAGGGGACCCCACCGGTCACGAATTCTCACTACAGCTTTAGGGCATACGTCCTGCAACCATCAATGAGTTAAATAATTTAAGGTTTGTCTACAACATATGTTTAAATAAATGATGAGGTAGAAAACCACAGCAAATTTCGTACTGAACATAATATTCACTCTGAATAGGTTGAATAACCACTAAACCTCCCCTTTTTTTATGTTGAATGCATGATCCACTTGTGTTATACGGTGAAGTGTATTTTTTTTGTGACATAACTGTATAACTGCGTGCCACGTCTCTGATTTGATCCTCTCATTTGTGTTCACTAAATAAGTCGTTTTATAACGACAGAAGACAAGGACCAGGCAACAGATCTTCTATTGAGAAAATCAAGAGGTAGTCAAAGATTTTAATGTACATTATTATTAGCAGTGAAGCAACGTCTTCTGATTGTTTGTTTTCTTGATGAAGGTTATTCTGTACTGCTTGTGACCGTTTCTCAGAAAGTTGAGCCATGTATCTACGAGTCCAATTTGCACACTTTAAGTCTGCTGTGATTGGTTGGAGAGTGCCTCAAGGTTAAGCTTTGTTATTGCGTTTTTTCTCATGATCCCGATTTGGGACGTAATATTGACGTAAATTGCTGTTTACAATTTTGGCTTGTTCACAGCCAGCTTTCACAACAGTTTTACCTGTGTTAGAATCTAATTTTAGGCTTCAAACCATCAGCTAGGGTGTTGCTTGTGTGTGCACATCACTGTGCTTCTTGTTTAAGAATCACTGCCTATTTAAACATTGTAATTTGAACGAATTTCTCATTGAAATCAGCTTATCCTCAGGGCTTCGTACAAGTTACCTGAGGTATAATCATCTATAAATTAGGTAAATCAGAACTAGAGAAATGGTTGAGTATATTAAACAGTCATATCTTCACTTAAACTTTGCACTGTGAATTAAATAACAAGTCAACGTTGCATCCTCCACTACCTCACTTACTTTAGCTGGTGTTCCTCAAGGTGCTGTTCTTTCTCCCTTTCTGTTCTCGTTTTTCTTACATGACTTGCCTCATTTTGATGTAGCCACTTTTGTTAAATATGCCGATGACCTCTCGGTTTCTATGCCTGTCAACTCTCAGTCAGATTGTTCCAAATTAAATAGCTTTCTGTCGGAAATTAGTCAGTGGTCCTCTTCAAACGGACTTAAGCTTAATCCGTCTAAATGTCAAGTAGTCAATTTCACTTTCAGACGTAAATGTGACCTACAGCAACTAGTTAGCTCACATGGCCCCACTCTCATTGACGACACAGAGGTTGAAAATACATCTTATGTTAAGTACCTTGGGCTGAGTTTTTCCACCGATCTTTCCTGGTCTTCCCACATCTTGCTAGTTACTAGAAAGATGTTTCGCTTAACGTTCTACATTAGGAAATTTAGGCAGTCTGGCATAAACCAGTCTTTACTTTCTCAGTTTGTAAATTCTTGTATTC